GTCATGCAATGAGCCAAAAAACAGTAGTAGTGGATGTTTAGGTGTAATTCGATGGTCGATGAGCATCCCACGGCATCCGGTGAATTTAATGTGACAACCTTCGCAGGATGACATACATGGGGCAAGCACTGAGAAGTAGAATTCTTACAGACTGTAGCTCAATAAAACGCATGCGCACTCTGAGAAACGAGCGACAACGAGTAGAAACGACTGAGTCATACATAAAAATGAGCGAACGAAAAGACAGGCTTGGAAGTTTTGCAATAGTCTAGGGCTCATTCAGCTCAATCGATATAGAAGCTAGCTTTAAATGAATGAATGTACTGGAATACACTGTAAAAACGATTAGCCTGACAGAATACATGAGCAAACTAACCTTGGTGCAATTTGAGGCGGAAGCTACGTTCACTATTTTCACAGATTTTGTTCGGGTAGAAAATCGTAACCAAGTGTGACCCTGTGCGGTAATTGTAAGGATGCATTTGCTTGGGGGCTTCGTCATACAATTCCCAATAGCGATCCACAGCATATTCATACTGAACTAAGAAACCGTCGAGAATACGTCGAATAGCAGCATGTAACTCTGTACACATGTCAGTCTGAGGAATGCAGCAAAGTACATCAATGTGAATCCGCAGTCGAATAAGTCGATGGTTAAGATGTGTCAGTTGAAACGTTGGTGTGCCGCCACCTGCACCAAGGTCATAATCGAAAGATAGGTAAACATCCGGTAATTCCGAGGTGGACGACATGGAATGAAGCAGTTTTGTGAATTCTGACTTCACCGCGTCTGGTGAGTGGATGGATATTGCAATGCTACCACATTTAGCCACCAAAGAGTCTAAGGTACTTCTGATAATAGAAATTTGCTTTGTGAAAGCATCTTTCGAAGAAAACGAAATGTTTATTGGGTTACACGATCGCAAACGAAATTTAACTGAGTCCGCGTCCTCAGGATGACTGAAGAACCAAACCATTCCCCCGAAGCACTGAAAAACACGCTTTAGTAGATAAATTCCACATCAAAATAATGCAAAGTGACCATCGCTGAGCTTATACATACGGATTAAAGAACAACAGTTCCCATAAAGCGACAAAGTTGAGAACGACAGTTGCAACACCACCGGAATCAATTCTGCTATTGGTGTAGTAAGCGTGCGGTCGTGGATTCCGAGGGCTTCTGTGTCCAGTGCGTACGTAGGTCGTAATAAACCTGGGGAGCTGCAATGGAAAGCAAGTACCTCGTAGGTGGCTGGATGCTCATATCATAACCAACCTAGTAAGAGACCACAGTAAACAGAACGTAAAGGTAAAGAGAAGAGGAAGAATCAATGGCCGTCTACCCGATGCACAGAGACCCCTTTACCTTAGGAATCACCGGCAATTTTACATTACCACGTAGTTGACAGGCGCTGTCCTCAGCGCCTACTGTAGCCCTAGTTGGTCTCGACCTGCTGGTGTGAAGAGCGGCTGATGAGTGCAGTGTGCTAGGTTCGAGAGATTCCGCGACAAACAGTGTGATCACAGGAAAATCTATGATAGCCACAAGGGCAAATATCCAGATTCAGGATATGCTGTCGGAAACTGCCATGGTCGCTAAATGCGTAACATGCGTCTGATCTACGATCTGCCGGTGCACCACTGAGGAGCACGGTGTGCCAAGTTCGAGAGATTCCCCGACAAGCAGTGTGGTCAAAGGTAAGTTAATGATCGCCTCACAGGGCAACGATCCAGCTTCAGCGACTGCTGTCACGGATTGGTAGGATCGCCAAATATGTAATATGTGTGCGGTCCTGGATTCCGAGGGTTTCTGTGTCCAGCGTGTATTTAAGTTGTAATAGACCTAGGCAGCTGCAACGGAAAGCAATTATCTCGTAGGTGGCTGGATGCTCATATCACAACCAACCTAGCAAGAGACTAAACTAAACCGAACGCGAAGGTAAAGAGAAGAGGAAGAATCAGTGGTCGTCTACCTGCACACACACTATACACATTAGCTAGAGGTGGGAAACACCTCAGCTACTGTGCCGCAATACCAAAAGAAAAAACGGAATAAAAGCCGGCTAAGCTATCGGTAACGGATGGGCATCGTTCCAAAAAGCTACCAGCCGGCTACTGTGCATCAAAAATTACTATGCAAAATTATATAAGGCTAAATAATGAGATCGTGGTTGGACGGGGGGCTAAGACGGAAGGAGTGGGACAAAGAAACTCACAGCACGGACGACATTCAGGTCGGCTCCTAGCCATATCAGCAAGTGTATCCAGCCAAACGTGCTCATCGTCTTCCGGACCCCAAGCAGGAAGCCGAGACGCTCTAACCGAGGCTAGCTCCGAAGCAAGGGCCTTCATTCATCTGGACCAAGTCATCGCTTGGTCACCCCTCCTCTTCTTCCATCCACACCCCCGGTGAGCAAACAACACACGTCCCGGAAATCGGTGGGCTGGCGTGCGCAACACGTGACCGAGCCATGTTCAAGTTCAAGTTCAAGCGAGACCGGAACAGTAGGATAAATCCCCGTGAATGTTCCTTCAGTGGCGCGTCGTTGATCCAGGGTATTATTCGTCCGCGATAACTGGAATCCAGAAGAATCAGATCAGCGCGCGCGAATCACACCATGGTCAACCAATTAATACCCATGCGACCTGCACTGGCAGTCCCCGCCGAACCGGTCACGTGAAATAAGAAAGAGAAGTACGAAAGTAATAAGAGCGTCAAGAAAAAAACGTAATAAATTTAATAATTCAACAAGACGAATAAGCTAGGACGTGAAGGGGAATGTTAAGAATTGAAGGCCAAGAGCGTCGAGTCGATGTTCGAACTCTTCCACCGTTGGTGTCAATACCACCTAGTTTTGTCCCGCATCGCTTGGAAGTCCGCGGCCCAAATGTTCGGATACCAACTGGTAGTAGCTTGGCAAGACCTGATAAGAGCACACTGGAAAGACAAGCAAACGTGATCGCTAGCGCCAAGAGGCGAGTCGTATTTAATGTCATTTACAAAGTCAAGTGACTTAGCAAAAACAAGATCTAAAATGGACGGCTGCTGATTGCTCATGTACCTAGTGGGGAGGTCCACGAACTGGTGTAGTAGTACCTGCAGCGTCAAGTCCAGCATTTCTGTACCGAACGATTCCAGAGCCGAACTGCAAGATAGATCATCCCAACAAACCTCTGGGAGGTTGAAGTCTCCCAGCACCAGACACTTGTTCGCAGAGTGAGTGCGTATAAACTCAATGATTCCATTGGAGGTGCTCATAGGGCTTCTATACACTAACACGACAGTAACCTGAACCGAGGAAGCGCAAATCAAGACTGCGAGAGCCTCAACAGATTTGTCGAGAGATTGAAAAACGCTGGTCCTCAATATGTCGATGTGATAACTCACATAAAGAGCTACACCACCCCCTTGACGGCCAGTGGAGCGGTCAGCGCGGAACAGTGCGTAGCCAGGCAGATATACTTCGCCATCTGTGATTTCCTCAGACAGCCAAGTTTCAGTGAAAGCAAGTAGATCTGGACGAGATTTGTCTACGAGCAGACCCACCTCGCACATCTTGTTCCTCAGGCTACGCAGGTTACTAAGTACTACTTGGAGGACTTCGGCACGACCAGCCCTGGGTCGTGCGCAAGTAGAATAAGTTCTAGCAGGGCGGAAAAGGACCGCCGGCTGACCACCTGAAAACCCACCAATCGGAGACCTTGTTCGCCAGCTGCACGCCGGGCATTTAGGTCCCTGATGGCTTCCTTTAACTTCAACCTATCCGCTAACCGAAGGTCTGGTTGCACACTAACGTTGGTACCTTTGAGCTTGAAGGCAAATTTCGGTAAGGCCCTGCGCTCTTCTGGGGTGGAGAGGACCACCCTAAGCAGACGGGGTCGAGGATTTGGTTGACCAACCGGAACGTTCCCCAATCTGATGAGCTTCCTGACAGTAACGCCAGGGAAACCTGGTGGTAAAAGCCTGGTCATGCAAACTTTAAGCCAACCAAGATCATCAAGCATGCGCTCGGTGGGAAGAGCGGCAGTGGATTCAGTGACGTTTCTGAAAATCACACTGCTATCTGTGTAAGAATCGCCTCGACGAGGTGTATTTACACCACATGCTCTACCATCCACGCCACATGGTTGTTTGACAGGAATCGGTGGGACCGAAGGCGACGGCACCTCTTGTCTCACTGAGGGAAGTGCAACACCAGGTGGTGTTTCCAAATCAGGCGCTTGTTTCTTGAGCATTTTGTCACCTTCCGGTTCGGGGGCGGAGTGTTTGCGCAATTTCATTGCCCTCTTACGCTTATTCTTCAATGGCCCAGGAGCCCGTGACTCGCCTTCAGTTTGGGGCGGGTCAACAATGCCGTCCGAGGCATCTGTGTCAGTTATATTCACGTGAACTGGAGCGTCCGGTAGAATGAACGCTTCGTCAACGTTTGGACTGACAGCAGGACAGTCCGTTACAGCGTCCACCTTCGCAATATTCAGGTATTTCATAAGCAAATCCACTTTAGAGTTGGGCGAGACAAGAGAGGCATGCTCGGCTAATGCCTTTTCAACAACTGTGAATCTGGACGCTAGTGCTTTGAATTCAGCACAGGTGAAAGCCGGGAGCTTCGCTTTTTGAGCGCAACAATCAGCACATCTAAACAGAAGGCTTTCACTGGATGATAGCATATTGTACTGATTCGCTCGGAGGCCGGTACAACTTTTGTGATACCAACGAGAGCAAACATCACACTGCATACCACCAGATGAATCCGTTACTGGCCTTGAACAGGCAGAATTGCTGCAAGCTGCATTTGACTCATCAAACGAAGACGCAAGGGGTTCATCCGCCTCGGTTTTTCGCGAGGTGACCATGTTGAAGTGGAAAACATAGCAGAATTTTAAAACACGTGTACAACCGTAAAACGACCACAATAAAAAGGCAAAACAGGGTGTAAAACGGGATTAAAAAGGGGAACAATAGCAAAATTACCAGTAAGTTCAGTTCAGTTCAGATGGGGACTGGAACGATAGGAGAATCGCGTGAGCGTTCCATCTTGGGTGGATCGTTGAGACAGGAATTGATGAAGTGCTCCGTTATTGATGGATCTAAAACGGAAACACCCGTATCGCACCCTGACCAACCAGTTAATGCCCACGTTTCCTGCCCTAGCAGTCCCTGCTGTGGCAGTCACGTGAAGTAAGCAAAGGATAGGAAGAGAAATCGAAGGTACAGAATAAGGAAGTGCACTTAAATAAGAAAATAATACCAATACGTGAAGAAAAGTAGAGAAAAGAAAATCGAAGTACGAAGATGCGAGTTACTCAGGAAAATGGAAAGGTTTCGTGTTGCCACCCAAGAGCGTCAAGTTGCCGCTCAAACCCCTTAACCGTAGATTCCCTGATAACACTTTCCGGAAGCATGTTCCAGCGGTCGATGACTCTGCGTGACAGCCGGATTTCCGCCCTAATCCGATCGGACCGCGGTTTGTCCAGCTTCAACGAATGACCGCGTAGAACAGACAATCTAGCGGGACTGAATAGCCAAGATAAATCTGGACCAACCTTCCCAGTCAAGATACGGTAGGTTAGGATTAGGTCTCCTCTAAGCCTTCGGTAGTGCATTGAATGCATTCCTAAACTAAGTAGACGCTCGGGGTACGTCCGTCCCCGTAATCCCTCGACTAACCTAGTACCCACTCGTAAAACCCTCTCTAGCTCCATTTTGTCCCGGACGAGGCAGGGCGGACAAGCCTGGACGCAGTATTCCAGATGAGGCCGAACGAAAGCCGAGAACAGCCTCGTAAAGATGCCGCCCGTCAAGACTCCGAAAGAACGTCGGATTAACCACAACATGCGGAAACCTCTGCTTGCGGCCTTCTTCCAGTTGTCGCCGGAGTGTAAAACCGAAGAGTGTACGACGCCTAGGTCAACCTGGCTAGATACACGGGGGAGTTCGACCCCACCGACCAAGTACTTCGCAGGAGGACAACCTCCTCCAATTCGAAGAACGGAGCACTTTGCCTGATTTATGGGCAGTAACCATAAAGTAGACCAGTCCCAAAGCTTATCCAATGCTCGCTGAATAGCTTCGGAACCCCCAGGAACATCAACAATGTTCCACAGCTTCAGGTCATCAGCAAATAGCAGCGATGGTACCTCAAGCTCCGCGGGTAGGTCATT